CTGCAGCGACAGCCAAAATATGCTAGACCTCTGGTTTCATGCTACCAATCACACGACTGCTGGGCTGTACCCGTGCGCTCCGCGGACGCTGCGGCACCTCTTTTGAAGTGCTACCCCAAAGGTGCTCGTGTGACGCAACGCAAACTGGTGCCGTGGGGAGCAGTCCGGGTTTGCGCTGCCTCGAAATATCCTGGCTTCGACCGACATAGTTCTGCAGAGTTGCTGGGAGGGACGGCCAAGATCTATCAACCTGACACTTCCGATTTCTCTTTGCTTGCAAGCGAGGATAAAAACGACGTGTACGAGGTGGTGGGAATGGTGTGCGATGACAATCCTTGTGCGACCCAGGCAGAAATTCTTACTATTGGAATTCCACGTGAACCGGAGGACTTTGTGAAGGCTGCGGTCCAAGCGGGGCACCCTCGCAATGCAATACTGGTCAATCGCCAAGGTCCGGCAAAGGAAATCGCTGCCAACGTAGTTATGCCAGCAGAGGAGCGCAAGAAAAGGGCCGATGAGGCTCGGGATGCGTGGAAGAAAATTTCCAAGGAGTCGGCTGAGACCAACGACGCGCTTATGAAACAAAAGCCCGCGTACTTGGCGAAGGCGCTGGCTGGCAAGAACGTCATTGCTTGGCAGCGCATTCTTGAGCGAAATGGTTTCCCTGACCAGATGCTTTGGGCTGACTTGCGGGATGGCTTCCGCTTGACAGGATGGATGAGAGAGACCGGAATCTTCAAGCCTAGAGTCAAAGCACCGGAATCCTCCCTTGAAAGTCTGCTAGCACAATCGTCTTACCGATCTCCCATGACTATGAGCCGGATAACAAACACGAAGCCAGACGAGACGTCTAGGAAGGCGTGGGCTGAAACCCAAGAGGAGGAGCGCAAGGGCTGGATCTTCGAGGACACCGCCCCTGACTTCAGCAACATCATTCTGGCGCACCGCTTCGGACTTGAGCAGAAGAACAAAGTACGGGTGATTGACAACGGCAAGGATTGCGGCTTGAACATGGCTTGCGGGCTGCCAGAGAAGTTCACCCTGCACGGGGTCGACGTTCTGGCGGCTGTCTTCCTTGAGTTGTTGAATATGCCACGTGACCGCTTGTTCAAATTGGTTGGGAAAACAATAGATCTCGTCTCCGCTTACAAGTTCTACCCCGTACATCCTCTTGACAGACAACACTTGAGGATTGGTGTGTTCGACACGGACAGCAAGAGGACGCGGATCTATGGGACTAATGTCCTACCTTTCGGTGCCACCGGAAGTGTGGCTGGCTTCCTTAGGGTGTCAGCCGCCGTTTGGCACACTGGCGTCCGAGACATGGGCTTGGGCTGGTGCGCATACTTCGATGATTTTCCATTGCTATCTTGTGATGGAATGGAGGAACAGATCGAAGAATTCGCCGACGAAGTTTTCGAGGCTCTTGGGATTCAGTATGCAAAGGAGGGCAAGAAGGCAACAAAGTTTGATGCGGTTTTTAATGCGCTTGGCTTGGCCTTCGACCTGTCGGGATTCGAGAGCGGAGTCATCTCCATCACACATACCAGCGATCGAAAGAAGGAGTTGAACGACGTTCTCGCGAACATCTTGCAGACGGGAAGACTTAGCCCCAAGGAGGCTGAAGTCCTCCGCGGGCGCATGCATTGGTATTCTTCTTACTTGTTCGGACGGGCACCGTGCGAAGCTATGCACCAACTTTCCTTGAGAGCCAGGGGAATCGATGGTTCATCAGAACTGAGCGCTGATCTGGATTGGGCGGTGAGGACACTGCTCCAACACGTCAGTACCTCGAGACCCTTGGAGTTGAGGCAGACTTCCGGGAGAGAGCTCTTCATTTTTACTGATGGATCTTATGAACCTGGCGCTGGGGTTGTGGCCGGCATCGGAGGAATCGTTTACGATGCCTCTGGCGTCCCGTTGGCTTTCTTCAGCTCGGAGATCCCTAAGTCTGATTTGGAATTGCTGGAGGCTGAATCCGAGCATCCAATCTATGAAGTCGAACTCTACGCGGTCCTTGTGGCGTTCATGCTATGGGCGGAAGTGTTGAGAGATACCTTCAGCACCTTCTACTTAGACAACGAAGCTGCGCAATCCGCTTTGATTGCTGGCCGCTCTGGGACTCGAAACGGACGACGGCTCTTACAGCAGGTCTTATCGCTGGAACATGACAATATGGCTAGGCCGTGGTTTGGGCGTGTGCCTACCCACTCGAACCCGGCAGACCCGCCTAGCCGACAGATCGTGGACCATCTGAGCAGACAGGGCGCAAGGCAGGACGATGTCGATTTGGGCTGTCTGCTGCTTGAAAGGCCTCCGGATACGGGCTGAAGTGCACTTCGATGGGGGAAGTTCGGGTGCACTTGAAACGTGTGCTTTAGGAGTCGTGGCCCTTGGCCGAGCCTTGGAGGCTTGACCTTGGGACAGACAGCCGATTTGACTTTCGACTTTCCCCATTGCACTTCGAGCTTATCCGATAAAATGAAGGAGGGGTCCGAGTGAATGCATTGCAGTCTCACATGTCTGATTGAACATTTCATACGAAATATATTTGATTGATATTCCCAAATAACGACGAATTTGTTCATGCGTTTGTGGACTTGGAAATAAGTGACCACATCACTTGTGATTTTCACTTTATTTCCAATTTCACAACGATTGTTGTCTCGTTGAGAAACGATCGTGCATGAACACTTCGGGCGGTTTTTGGGAAACTCTTTTGAACCTGATTTTTAACGATTGAGTTTTTCATGAACTTCGTTCTTTGATGATCAGTTGCTAACATGTCTCCCGCGCACGCTCCTTCAAGCACATGAGTGCAAATTTTTGTCCCGCCCGCCCACCCGGGGGAAGTTCGGGTGCACTTGAAACGTGTGCTTTAGGAGTCGTGGCCCTTGGCCGAGCCTTGGAGGCTTGACCTTGGGACAGACAGCCGATTTGACTTTCGACTTTCCCCATTGCACTTCGAGCTTATCCGATAAAATGAAGGAGGGGTCCGAGTGAATGCATTGCAGTCTCACATGTCTGATTGAACATTTCATACGAAATATATTTGATTGATATTCCCAAATAACGACGAATTTGTTCATGCGTTTGTGGACTTGGAAATAAGCATTGTTAATGTGCCGAGTATTTTGCCGAGTGCATTTCTGGGAAAGGGGCGTCTTGGGAATGTGCTTACTCATACAGCTGCTGCTCCTGTGAAAGCTCCGAGTGGCCCGCCGGCTATAAATCTGACTGCCACTGGCGGCAAGCTGCCACGGAAGGTTGGGCCTTCTTGGGTTCAGAGACAGTCGGATAACAGGCATGCGGCTGTCATGAAGTGGCTTCGGATTGCGAAAGAGGGCGGCGACTTCTTCGGGGTCTGTGCCAGAGTGGCGGAGGATGCTGAAGCTGGATTGCCGGCCTCCCTGCAGGAGTCTCTAGGAGATGTTTTCTCGCTTAAGGCGAGCAGTACGCTTCACAGCAGGGCTGGCCCGGTCCTAAGATACATGGCATTCTGCTGGCGCATCAGAGAACAGCCTTTTCCTTTGTCTGAGCAGAAGATGTATCGCTTCGTCAAAGAGTATTGCAGTGGGGCTGCTCCTACCTTTGCATCCAGCTTTATGAGTTCCGTTGGCTTCATGCAATATGTCTTGGAGGCGAAGGTTCCGGACGATTGTGTTAGTAGCAGGTTGGCTGGCGCGGTTTCGAAGCTCTACTTGGAGAAGAGAAAGCTGCAACAGAAGCCGCCATTGACGGCTTCACAGGTGCGGGCTCTGGAGCGAATCGTGCTTGGACTTATGCCTGAAGTCCGCACAGATGTCGATCGCTACGCGGCCGGGTGCTTTTTATATTGTGTGTTTGCGAGAGCCCGTTTTTCGGACATGCAGTGTTCTGGCGAGCTGGCGAAGGACGTCGTGCAAGGAGAAGACGGACCGCGCGGTTACCTTGAAGCCAGGAGCAAGACGAGTCATAATCTGGAGCGCAAAACCCGATATCTTGCTATGGTCAGCCCTATATGGGGTCTCGAGCAGGATTCTTGGGCGATGGCCTGGATGGAGGTAGCCGGCAGGGCTGGGCCTGCATGGGGACCTGACATGCCCCTGCTACCGTCCCCCACCGAGGGGGGCCAATGGCAGAAGGCGCCTATGTCTGCGCAAGCCGGAGCGCGGTGGCTTCGCCACCTTCTCTATCGTGCAGGCGAGGATGTTTCATTGGTCAAGGCCGCTGGTACTCACTCCTGCAAAGCTACGCTCTTATCTTGGATGTCTAAGTGGGGAGCTAGTAAGGAAATCCGGTCGATACTCGGATATCACTCCAGTGCCAACGCCGGCACGGATGTTATCTACGCGAGGGACAGCGTCTCCCCTGCGTTGCGTGAGTTGGAGGAAATGGTTTCTGCGGTCGCTTACAGGCGGTTCTTCCCGGACGCCACGCGCTCGGGCATGTTTGCGGAGTCTTTGGCTGCCAGGGAAGAAGCTCATGACAAGGCCGAGGTCGGCTCAGATTCTTCTTCCGACAGGAGCGATGATGAGGAGGAGCCAGATACTCTCGAGGAGGAGAAGGTCGTTGAGGACAGTGTCGGCGAATTTGAGCCGAGCGGCTGCCTTCGAGAAAATCTGGAGGGCAAGACGGTCTTTCGGCATGTTACCACCCGCTTCATACACTTGGTCGCTTCTGAGGAGGGCACAAATTTTAAGTGTGGCAGACAGATTACATCGTCTTACTTGGAGTGCAACGCGACTCCCAGGTTTTTGCATCCAATCTGCAGGCAGTGCTTTCCAGAGGCGAGGTGAGGGATCGATAGGCTGGCTGGCTGGAGTGCCGCCATGCGAATTTTGTGAACCTCTCATCGCGAGAGCCCGCGAAGGCGGGATGAATATGCGCACGGAATACAAGGAGCGCTGCACTTGGCATTGCGTGGTCTCAACAGTTCGGAGTCGCAAATGCCGCCTTGTGATTTCAAGTGAGAGTCGCTCGAGCTACTTGAAGGTAGGCCAGTTCTGAAGGAGCGAGCCATGGCTTCCGCATACTCGGAGTCCGAGCCAGTTCTGGTGTCCCGTCTCTCGAAGGCGGGTTTTGAGCAGGCTGAGCGCGATCTCATCCTGAAGCACGTTAAGAGCTTGAAGCAGTTGGCCTTCGTGAGCTCCTTTGCTCCGGGGGCTGCGGACGAAGGTCCGTTGATCGAGGCCCTTAAGACGATGCTTGGAAAGGACCCAGAGATGAATCAGAAGGCAGCTTTCAGAGCAGTTTTCCATGAGGCATATGCCATTGTCACTTCGGAGATGCGACAGCAGGTTGAAAGGGTCGAGGAGCCGACAGTTCGTCATTTGAGTCAGCCCGAGAGGGCTGAGAGAATTGAGCGACAACGTTCACAGTTGACTGGCATCACGATAAAGGGTTCCTCGGAGCCATCAGAGGCCCTGGTCGACCTTTGCGTCGGTCAGTATGAGGCCAATGTGATCCAGTATGTCCCTTGGTCTAAGTGCACGTCGCGGGAACAGGAGCTCCTGGGCGACGGTAAGAAGGACCTGAAGCTTTCGATAGACGGCGAGAGTGGTAAGCTCAAGGTAGAGAACAAGGCCAAGGATCAGGTGGCTGACACGTCCACTGAAGTGATGCTTCTGCAGGCTCTGCAGAGGCGTGCTCTTGCATTCGATCAGGCTAACATTGTTTCTTTCACGAAGCTTGACATGTGGCATCAAAAGTTGATGAAGGCGAGGCTGACTGCGCCCCCGCCGGGTTACCAGCAGGTTACCTTCGCTCAGTTGCAAAATGCAGACTCGAGGCTCTTTTTGGAGCTTCAGGACCATACGCGCACAGGCATTCAGTCGGATGCCAAAGGCCGTCCGATCGATGGGATCATAGATTCTGTCAGCTGCATGCATGAGGTGGTTTCGCTGATGCAGCCGCTCCAGGGCGGCCCCTCGTCTTCGTACGGTCCCAGTGAGCCTGCTCGTCTGCGAGAGTCGCCGTACAAAGGTAAGGGCAAGGGCAAAGATGGCAAAGGGAAGAAGCGCTTCGTTGCTATGCCAAGCGAGCTTCGTGGGTGGGTGCAATTCGCACACCGCGAAAGGGCACCCGATCTGCTATGCCTTTAACCTGGGGTCATGCCCGAACAAGGTGACGGGCAATAAATGTGAGAAGGGATTGCACATCTGTGCAGTCCCCAAGTGCGGCATGAACCACGCCGCTGTCAAGTGTCCCAAGAAGCCGAAAGATGGCGAGCAGGCGGGCGCTTGACTATTAAGTTCAACCCCGGCCCCGGGTGCGCAAGGGTCGGCGGCAGGGTCTGGGAGTGGCGAAGGCCATTCTCGAGCAATCCAGCAAGTGCTTACGGCCCATCCCGAAGGGGATGAGCCTCTTTTGAGTGCGCCCGAAGGGGCCCAAGCAGTGCCATTTGAAGGGCAAGGATCGAACCAACTCGATCCGAAAGTGCATGCGGACTCTTATGCTGAGGAGCTTCTGTCTTTGGGCAGGGATCCCACGGCCCAGGAGTTGATTCGTTTGTTTGACATGCTGCCTCAGGAGCCGCTTTTGAGCAATACTCGTGACGATGGAGCCGTGGCCTTCTCGACTGGTGCCTATGCGAAGGGGCCGCTGCTCGGTCTCAGGAGCAACTGCAACAAACATCCGGCGGCTTCGAAGGTTTTCGCTCAGGCAGTGCAACGCGCTGCCCCAGGGATGCAATTTTCTACTCTGAGTGTGTTTTCAGACCTTAAGACGGAGCCTCATGTCGACCGCTTCAACTCTCCTTTCCCGAACATTCTTGTGCCACTCAGCAATTTTCGGAAAGGCGAGGTCTGGGTCGAGTCGGCTGAGGGCGATTTTCCTCTTGAGGTCGATGGTGTTACGAAGCGTGGCATCTTGATCGATGTTGCCTCCGGACCGAAGGCCTTCTATGCTTGCAGCCATGTGCACGCTACCCGGCCGTGGAGCGGTCGACGCGTGGTCATAGTTGGGTTTTGCGTTGCTAGGATTCAGGAACTTGATGTTGAATGTAGGGCGCGCTTAGCTGAGCTGAGCTTCCCTGTTCCCCAGACGGCGCCCAACTTTAGTCCGGATTTGATCGAAGTCGGGGGAACCTTTCATGACCTCAGAAGTTCTCAAGTGGATGAGGCATGTGATGCCCTCCCGGCTCAACTGCAAGTCGCTTCTTTGCTGTGCCTTGACCTCTTTTGCAATGCAGGTGAGTTTGGAGCCTCCCTGAGGGCCGCCGGATTCGATGTGCTCGCGGTCGAACAACCGCACCTAAAGCAGAGAGCTCTGATCAGCGTTGTGTCGTTGGATCTCAGGAAGGCTGCCTCATGGGATTTTCTAGTTAAGGTTGTACTCGCTAGGAGGGTCGTCTTTGTGCTTGCTGCCCCCACTGTGGCCGCTTCTGCGGGCGAACTTCCAGCAGGTTTTGCCCAGGTGTCTTCCGAACTCAGCTCTTTCTTGGCTTTTCTCGCCACTCTTGATATCGGATGGTGCGTCTTGAATCCGCTGAACAGCCGACTGTGGTCGACTTTGGCTCTGCCTGCCTCGCATGCTGTGAAGTTCGACCTCTGTGCCCATGGTGGCGAGCAGCACCGCCAGATGCTGTTGCATACTAACGTCCAGACTTTAAGCGCTCTTGCTGTGTCGGCCGACGACAATCAGGAACCTTCTAGAGCCTTCCAGTCAGTGACTTCACTGAGGGCCCGGCCGCGTTTGTTGTGCAGTCGGCTCGCCGCCCAGGTAGTTGTTTTCGCGGGTTCACTAGGGTTTGCTGTGTCCCCTGATGCAGTCAAGCCATCTGCCAATCATCGGTCCTCCATTGCAGTGCAGCGCCAGCCCAAGGTCTCCAAGGTGCCGCCGCTCATGCCCGAATACAAGCATCGGGTTACTTTGCAGGTTCCGTCCATGGACGCTCTACGTTATGATGCGAAAAACTCCTTGACGGCCGCTTTTCAGTCGGTGCCTGTCGGTGCCCGCATCCTTCAGGTGGTGCCTGTGCAAGGGGGCGAGGGTCCTTCAGATTCGGGCTTTAGGGTTACTTTTGGGGTTTACAGGACCGAGGATGAGTTCGTCAGGACAGCAGTTACTCTATCTCATCCTTTCGACCTGTCTTCTGCAGTGCCGGGAGATTCTTGCGTTCACCCTCACGAAAGGGCCCTTGGCAGTCATGAGGCATCGCTTGGACACCTTGACGAAATGGAAAAAGTGGTTTCAAGAACTTCGTGGAGCCGAGGCCTCCTTGCACGCGAGGCTTCACCCAGATGTCGAGAAGATAGTTGCACGCAAAAACTTGACCCTCCTGCGGCGTGTGGCCGAGGATTTACAGTGGCCTGATGCCACGATAATCGACGACATCGAGAATGGCTTTGAGCTCGTGGGTGAGGCCAAGCTTACAGGCATCTTTGAGGTGGACCCGAAACCCTCTTCGATGTCCGTGGACGAGTTGCTTGAGCACGCTAAGTTCTTGAAGCCAGCCCTGTGGGGCAAGGTGTCGGGCGATGCGAGCCACCCGGATGATCAGGAGCTCTGGGATCTCACTTGTGCTGAAGCTGACGAGAAAGGTTGGTTGCATGGACCCTACACGTGGGAGCAACTGCAGAACATGTTTGACTCCAAGTGGATACCTGTGCGCAGATTCTCCATCAGGCAAAAGAACAAATTGCGGCCCATCGACGACCTGTCCGAGAATGCCGTCAATCAAGTCTCTCGGCCCGAGCACTTTTGCTGTGAGTACGGGTGGGGTAGCTGTAGCTTGCCGTAGAGCGCATGGTTTTCAGCTGCTGTATTCCACGTCGACTTTTCCCTTTTGCTGCATTCCATTTTACATTGCCGATTTTCATGCTTGGATTTCTCTTCTGGATTTTCATGTCGAGCACTTCACATGGCGATTTTGGCATGCAGTCAAGTACAGTGGGCACAGCATACACTTTTGATCATGATCTGGCCGCCGCGGTCCCAATTCCGCGGGCTGCACATGTGAGGCCTAACATGGGCATTTCAGCTGGCAGCAGAGACGAGGGTTTGGAGCTTGTGCACGGGGCTCCTGGGAGCGACAGGACATCGATGGTAAGAGTCGGCACTTCAGTCGCGAAACAATGTGCATCAGGCCTTCACAGTTTCACTTTATCATTTGCGAGAAAACGCTCCTACAAACGTGCCTTGAACAGGGCAGAGGCGAACGGCAGTGCTTGGTACAGGGGTCAATGGCTCAGCTTGGCAACTCTTCGAAAGTCCTATGTGTCCAACAATGCAGCCGCAAAGACCGAAGTGCTGAACATCCCAGCAGCCAGCAGGTCCCAATGCAAAAGTGGATCCAGATTTTCATTGCGGGCTTTCTCCTGGAATTGTGGCGGGCTCAACAACCTTAAGGATGAGCTACACACCTGGCTTCAAGAGCACGGCAGTGATTACAGCATTGTTCTACTGCAAGAGACTTGGTATCGTTCGGACATGGATTTTCTTGACAGGGGGTGGATTTGCATCAACTCGGGCGTCGGTGAGGGAGTGGCGAGAGCGCAAGCAGGCGTCATGGTGTTGCTTCGCAAAGATGTTTTTGATCAGTCGCATGTTCGCTTTCACCATGTAGTTCCAGGCAGGGTGCTTCACGTGCAGGCGCTGTGCAAGGGAGGCTGGGTTAATGTGGTCAACATCTATCAGCACAGCTGGGGCTTGGCCTCGGATCAGGACCGATTGCTCACCAAGCGGGCAGCGATCTGGGAGAAGGTCAGGGACACCTTTGGCCAGATTCCCAAGGGCCACTTTCTCATTGCTGGAGGTGACCTGAACACGTCAGCGAAACCGATGCATCCTTGGATAGGTCGTGGCATGCTGCAGAAGGGCCAGATTTCCCCGGATGCCGAGTGCTTGGAACAGTTGGTGCAGGACTTTCAGCTGAAGGCTGTGAACACTTTTGGTAGGCCCACGGCGTTCTCCTACGTTCATGAAGGCTACAAGGTCCATCGCAAATCGTTTGTTGACTATTGGTTGCTGCGTCAGTGTCAATCAGGACAGTCTTCAGCATCCTTGCTTGCGGGCTTCGAGGTTGGAAGATGGCGTGAAGGAGGGCGGCACTTGCCCATTGTCGTGGCTGTCACCCTCAGGCCTTACCATCACCAGGTTCGTAAGACTCCCCGAGAATGGCCAGTGTGGAAGTGCAAATTGTTACAGCAGGCGGCAAAGGACCACCCCGAGAAGGCTGCGGAGTTCCAGGCCGTGGTTCAGGAGCGATTGGAGGCGGAGATCGAATACCAACCGCAGTTCTTGAATGACATCCTGTTGCAGGTGGGGAAACAGGTCTTCGATATTCAGCGACCAAGAGTGCAGCCGCCAGCTTGGACAGCAGATGCACACACCAACTTGATTAAGCAGATGTGGTCACATTATCGGTTGATGAAGCGTAGGCGGTGTCTCCCTGGCACTCGGGCCATCTTGCAGGCCTGGCGTCATCAAGTGGCATTCCTTCGGTTACACAGGGCGGTTCAGAAACACAGCCGGCAGCTCCGACGATCACATTTTGATCAACTGCTGACGGCAGCCGAGCGCTGCGATCAGGTCGACGGGGCATCGACCACTTTTACTTTGATCAAGAAGTGGGCTCCCAAGCAGGCCAAGAAACGAACACAGCTGAGATCCCCCAACGGCCGACTTTTGTGCCCGGCTGAGGAAGTCAAGGAACTGGCGACATTCTGGAAGGAGATCTGTGCGGGCAGTGATGGGCAGGCTCCACCCAGCCACCAACCACGGCATGCCTATCATGTGTCACGAGAGGAATTACTTCATGCTCTGCAGTCGCTGAAGGGCAACAAAGCGGCACCGGCTCATTGTGCACCACATGCGCTGTGGCAGATTGCAGCAGGTCCTGTTGCCGAGTTCTTGGATGTTCAGGTTCTCAGCAAATGGCGTGACGAAGAAGCCGAGGTCTTTGAGGATTGGTCGGCGTCCTGGCTCACCTTCTTGAACAAAGCTAACAAGCCGGGCAATAAGCCCGGAGATCTCAGGCCGATTTCCTTGTTGGAGCCAGCGGGGAAGGCCATGAGCGGCATCATCAAACAACATTTGATGCCTTTCCTGCAGCCTTGGGTTGAGGACAGACATCTTTTTGGGTACTTGCCCAATCGATCGCCGCAACAGGCACTGAGCATTGTATATCGGCATTGTGCCGATGCCCGTGCTCGGGCGAAAGCACAGGGTCGAGATTTGTATGCGATCCGTCAGGGACATCGACGAGGGGGCTGCGCAGGGGGCTTGCAGGTGAGCATCGATTTCACACAAGCGTTCGATAGGGCCAACCGCGCTCTGCTCAACTCAGCCCTTCTACATCTGAAGGTCCCTGATAACCTACGATGCTTGATTATGCAGTGGGTAGAGACTACCACTTTCCATGTTGTGCAGGACGATGCTGAAGCCAAGTTCTCCTCCAGTCGAGGAATAAGACAAGGCTGTCGCTTGTCACCATCACTCTGGGTGTGCATCTCGGTGTACTTGCTGCATTTGATTGAGCAGGAGATGGGATCCCAATGGTGCAACGATCATCTGGTGGGCTTTGCTGATGATACTCATCTTCGTTGGGATATCCATGATGCGGTGCAGCTACATCAGGCTCTTGCACAAGCACATCGGGCATTACAGCTCCTGGAAAAGGCGGGTCTCAAACTTAGTCGGGACAAGACGGTTTGTCTGCTACGGGTTGAAGGTGTTCAGACTCCACACATCAAGCGGCAGCTCATCGACAAGACCAAGGACGGCCGAGTCCTCAAAATCAGCCCGGACTACATCCTGCCACTCAAACAGGATCACATTTACTTGGGCGCTTGCATCACATATGGGGACTTTGAGCACAAGAACATGCAGCACCGAGTCCATGCAGGCAAAGTGGCATTCCAGCGAGTTCGCAAATTTCTCATGGCAGACAAGGCAGCCAGCATGCAGAAGAGGCTTCGACTATGGAAGGCCATTGTCATCCCAACTGTCATGTACTCAATCACTGCTTCCGGTGTTCTCCCCAAGGGGTTCGACGCACTTCGCGTCATGTTGACCAAGCAAGCGCGAGCCATCGCGCGCAGCCCCAGACACAGGCTGGGAGGTGAAACCGGTGAAGAGGTTATCACGGAATCCGATGAAGTTTTCTGGCGAAAGGTGGCAATGGTCACTCCCGAACAGATGGTGCAACAGAGATTGCAGGCCGCCGTGGAACGCACAACGGAGCTTATGCATCACTTAGCGACACAGGATGTTCGAATCAGCGCGGCTGTTCGGGAGTGGGAGCAGACCATTTTGCAGCAGTTCAAGGACCGTTGCATTCAGAGCGATAGCGTCACTACTGTTCACAATTGTGATGTTTGCAATGCGGAGTTCGGTGACTACAGTTCTTTGCGGGCACACAAGGCTAAGGTCCATAGTGCGGAGAGGCGGCAGACTGCAGCGCCAACCTTTGACAGGCAACGTCACGGTGTGGATGGAATGCCGACGTGTTCCATGTGTGGGCACAAATTTCTGCGGTGGGCTGATTTGCAGAAACATGTTGCAGGGAACTTTTGTCAAAAGAGCACCCCCGACACCGAGGCGAGTACCATGGTTGAGGCCAAGGCTTCCGTCTGGGATCAGGCTCGGGATGGCACGCTTCAGCTCGATGACATCAGCTTGGCAACGGTCACCGAGGAGCTCAAGCAGGAACTACTTCAGCATTGTGCATTGTGTCGTCAATGGCAACCCGATCCCAAGTATATCAAGATACATTGGGGACGAGTTCATAAGAAGGAATGGCAGGCGCACGAAGCTCACACATTGCAATGGCGAAGAGCAACTTTTGCACGCATTACAGGTACCTGTGCATGGTGTCATCGGTCTGTGCCCAAAGGCTCGGTCCATACCGACACATGTCCGGTGTTGTTTCAACTGTCTATGGTTCGTGCGATGGGCAGTGCAGCCTCAGGCGGTGATGTCACCACGGTGAGCGCGGAGCCAGGGCCGGTAGCTGAAGTATCCTTGCCTGATGTACATGCCAGCAAACATTGGACGACCCATTGCCAGTTGTGTCATGAACAATGCACCGCGAGGGGGCTGCGACGGCACATGGAACAACATCATGCAAACATATGGTCCCAGTCGAAGACCGGGGTGGTGGCTTTGTGTTCGCAGTGGGCTGCCAGTCTCAAACGTCCGTGTCAGTTCTGTGGAGGCAACTTTAAACGAGCAGCACAGCATGCACATGTTTGTCATGTTCTCTTTCAATCTGCCTTGCAAATTTCGCTACCGGCAGCTCCTCCTGTAGAAGTTCATGGCCAGCATGTCGACGGGGGAGGACCAGTTCATGGACATCTTCGCAGCGACGATGCCGGCGCTTCGGGAAATGGCAGCCAAAAGAGCCGCCGAGCAGGTCGAGCAGAACGGCTCCAACAAGAGGCCGCATCTGGAAGTGACCAAGCAGACCAAGGGCAAAGGCTGGGGGAAAGGCCGAGGCAATCGCTTCAGCAACGGCTGGGGGAACCGTTGGAACACACAGGCACCGGCTCCGGCACCATCCACGGTTTCTTTAGAAGATCTTCAGCAAATGATGCACTTGGTTGCTCGGCTGCTGGTTCAACAGGACAACGAGATTCAGATGCTCAAGATGGACAAGCAGTTTCTGCTACATTTCGAGACGGGGCCCCAGGGAATGGTTCACTTGTTTTGGGAGTCGGCACAGGTCTGGAAGAAGGCCAAGGAAGCCCAGCCCCCGACGGTGGACAAATCGTTGCGCATAACCTTGATTCTGTGCATGAT